TTTTTTTTTTTAGGATGCCTTCAAGAGTCTCTGCTTCCAGGTGCAGCCTCCTGCTTCTCCATCGTCTTTCTGATGCATGAAAGCATCTGATCTTTCCATTACACTCTTGGTACTGAAGTTGGTAGGAAAACGCACAAGCCCCCCGAAACAAATGACGACCACAAACCCCAAGCCCCCGAGGCCCCGTGTTTGCAGCACTAAGTCCCTGCGGCTCAGGAGGGAGCAGTCCTAGCCTTCCCTGCGCTCTCTTTTGAAGAGAGCAGCAGCTTTCCAGGTGGCAGTAGCGTGGGAGAGAAGAATCTCATCAGGGAACATGTCTTGCAGCTCTGTAGCTAACTCAGAGTCTTTGGCATCAAGGTAAGGAATGAGCGATTCCTTCAGGCTGGAAAACAGAGCAAAAGTAGTATTAAGAGATGGTGTAGAGCAAACAGCACATGGCACATAGTATTGTGTGTGGGAGGAATGCACAAATATCAAGTATAGAGAGTTTGAATAAGTGTATTTTGTAACGAGGAGGACTGAACGGCCAGTCAGATTTAGAGAGGGGCTGAAGAACCCAGGAATGGGGTCTGCAGGTCAGAACCAAGGGGCGAGGGGCGGCCGCCGCCTCACCGCGGCCCTGTGCCCTTCGGCTAGCGAGCAGGCCCGGCTCCAGGCCAGCGTGGTTGAGGAGGACACCGAGGAGTGGCAGAAAGATTCAAGTTTTGCAGGACTGGAGAGAGTGGGAGGTGTTGACTTGTCCTATATCAAAGGAGATGACACCAGCGCCTGCGCGTCCCTGGTGGTTCTCAGCTACCCGGCTCTCGAGGTAACGGCAAGCGAACAACTTCCCTCCGCGGGGCCGTGGCCTGGGGCGCGACCGTGGGTTCACAGAAAAACTCACACAAAGGCCGTTACCTGCCGTCCCTCTGCCTCCCAGGCAGTAACTTAGCACGTGCCTCTTCAACAGAGCTCCCACCTGTACGTTCTGAGAGAAAGGTAGAGGAAAAAAAAAAAAATACACGTAAGGAAGATGTGGTGCAAACCACTCCTAACTGCGAGAGGTTCGTAGGGTTACTGGGGACTTCCAGGGCGTGGAGAGAGCGCTTTGGTACGTGTCGGAGTTAGCTGGTAAATCAAAAAACACCGCGGTGAGGTGTAGTCCCTGGTCAGGCACAGGAGGCTTTCACTGGTTGAGGCGTCTATTGAAAATAATCAGTCTTGGCCACTACCCAGAAGGAGACAACAAGGACCAGCGTTACTCAGCACCGATCAGGAGAGGAGATTAAGGCATTTGTAGCACTCAAGCAGCAGATGTCTTGTTTGTGAGTTCTTGCTGCGAATCAACTAATAATATGGGATGTAACATATGAAATCCTTCTCAAAATCACCATGAATCCCACATCCCACAGTCATTTTACTTGAATTAATAAAGATTTTTGGTCTCTTTCCCAGCTTTCAGAATGATATAAAAGTTATCTTTTAACTATAAAACTTACAACAAGCAGAGAAATAAAGTTTGATATTGGCCACTGGGATTTTTATGAACTGAATTTAAAATCCTGCCTTGATTCTTGATTTGCCCGGCATGAACGTTTTTTTGGTCCTGTCTCACAGGGTTTCTTTCGGCCTCTCCCTGCATAGGGACAGACGCCCTTTGATAATGCTCTGACTGGGGGAACTTTGAGGTCTGTTTGAATAACTGCCCTCATTTTGTTTCAAGGACTTCACTCGCAGGCGGGGCAGGGTAGGTGATGTCCCGCTCTCTTCTCCCGTTATCCCTTCTCTGAGAGACCCACTGACACAACCCACCGGCCTTAGCTTTGTGGGAGAGATCCGGGAGCAGAGTATTTTAAATTAAGATGAGAGCAAGGGATGTAAACCAGAGGAGGTGCCTCTGAAGCGGTCAGGAAGCGCCCTGCCGAGCCCCCGAGGTCAGTGTCCCCGCGCTGTCCCGCTGCTCCCAGGTGCTGCACGAGGATTGCCGGATGGTGGCTGTCAGCACCCCGTACGTGGCAGGATTCTTGGCCTTCCGAGAGGTCCCTTTCCTGGTGGAAGCTGTTCAGAGACTCCAGCGGGAGCAGCCCAAGCTCAAACCTCAGGTGTGGTATATTTCTTTGTCCCAATTTAGAGTCTGGTGTAGACAGCACCACAGGAAGGCCCTTACAGAGAGAAGGAAGAGGTCAGAGAGACTTCTCCTTCCTCACAGGGCCAGCGTCGCTGTGTTTACTGGAGCAGCTTTCAGTGTGCAGGAAATAACTTTTTTTTTTTTTTTTTTTTTACTTTTTCAGGTCCTTCTCGTAGATGGGAATGGCCTGCTCCATCCCAGAGGTAGGACTTCACTGGAGAGCCCTGCTCTCCAGGCTCCCCGTGCTGCCACTCGAGATGCCTGTTCCCTGGTGTCCTGCAGTGACAGTGACTGGTTGTTGGCAGGATTTGGTGTGGCCTGTCACCTCGGCGTCCTGACGGATCTACCGTGCGTCGGGGTGGCCAAGAACCTCCTGCAGGTGGATGGCTTGGTCAGGGATGAGCTGCACAGAGAGCAGGTTAGGCCAGGCGGGGCATTTATTTCCACTCTTTAAGATCCCAAGAGAATTGGGGCAGCCACATACCCGTGCTTCCTAACCAATGGACCTTGTGTGGTTTCTCCCTAGATTCGCTCCCTGCGGAGGGAGGGAGATACGTTCCCGCTGACAGGCGCCTCGGGGCGCGTCCTGGGCATGGTGAGCTGCGGGGAGATTCCTGTTTGCTTGGCCATCTTTGTGCAGCTGGGAGCACTGGAGGACGTTGTCTCTCTAGTGGGACGGTTTCAGTGACGTTAGTTCAGGAGGACACGGTGTGGACTGGTGACCAGTGACGCTGGTTTCCCCTTTCTGTGAGCTCAGATACTGGTGGAGGGAGATGGAAGTTCAGGCGTTGGGTGTGTTCGTGGCTGTGGCACCCGAGTGCCGCTTCCCAGAGCAGCGTGAGGCAGGTGGGGAAGGGCTACGGGGGTCCCAAAGGGCGAATGGTCCCTACCAGGAGATACTGGGAAGTAGAAGAGGTTTAAGAAGGCTGGGAGCTGCCTTCTGAAGGCAACTGGCTAGTTTGTAAATCATCTGTTGCTCTGTAGTTGTTAAAATGAGGCTCTTAAGTATGTGATCTTTCTCATTTCTGAATGCACAGGCCCTGCGGAGCTGCAAGAACAGCTCGAAGCCGCTCTATGTCTCTGTGGGTCACAGGGTGTGCCTGCAGACAGCCGTGCGCCTCGTCAGGTCCTGCTGCAGGTACCGGATCCCGGAGCCCATCCGCCAGGTACGGAAGCAGGGCCGAGGAGGGGCGGGCAGGCCCGGGGCAGGGAGGCAGACAGGCAGGCAGCGGCGGGGGCTGGGGCTGCCAAGCCTCTGGGGAAGTTTCAGAGCCTTGTCTGCCGCTGGCACCCTTCTTGCCGGGCTGTTCTCCCCAGCCTGGGTGGTGGTGGCTACGCGGTAGTTCACTGATCCTTCCTCCTCATTGCTTCTGACGCGGTGCCCAGAAGCACGCGCAGCCCTTACTGCAGACCCTGACTGATTTCTTGGTTGCTCTCTGCAGGCAGCTTGTGTGACGCTGATGTGAATAGAGAGGAGCTGGCAGTGCAGCTCGCCTGGGCACTCTGAGCCCGGCACAGACCGCAGTGCTGCTCCTCTGGGCTTTGCCCCGCTGCCGCACTCCGCAGGGAGCTGCGGGCTCAGCCAGTAGGTGACAGCACTGGATCACTGAGCCGCAGCTGCCACCAAGGCTCGGCTTCAGGCTAATTAAATCACAGCAGGGCTTGAGGAGAGGATCTGGAGAAGCACAAAGCCTCTGGGACTCCTAGCCTGGCGAGTGCTTCCCTTCTCTCGGGGTCAGGCCGCAGTTGGTGGCCGGGGCCGGGCAGCCCCGGCGGGGCCGCTGGAGGTGTCGGTGTCCGTGAGGGCCCGGGCACAGGCCGCTGGTGCCCCCGTGCCCGGCCACCTCTGCTCTGCAGCTCCTCGGAGCGGCGCTGAGCTGATCCTGCTGAGGGCTCTTCCGCAGTCTCTGCACACAGGAGCTTCTCACTGGTACTGCAGTGTTTTCGGAAAACAGTCTCGAGTCTATAGTTAAAAACCAGGCAAAAATCTAACACCTTAGAGCAAAACAAACCTTGAAGTGGCCATACCAGAACTGGAGTTTCTGAGCTCATAAACCACTACCTGCCAGACGGGAGTAGGCTGGTGGATCTGGTTATGTAATCGCTTCCAGCAAGGGACAGATGCCTCCGCAGAGCTCTGAGCTAGCTCTGCAGTTCGGCGTGTTCAGAGGAGAGGGGAGAAGCGTTCCCTTTGGAAACAAAAAGGTGTCTTGGAGCTTTTCATCACCCTCATTTCATTTCCAACTATCTCCAGTATTGGTCTGTGTTCTGAGGCTCATCCAGTTCTCTACAACCTTGATTTAAAGTGATGGAATGAGTTGTTGTCACTTACAGAGAGATTAAAAACCCAAAAGGGAGGGGGTTTACTCTAGAGGTAGAGGAATGGCAGGGGGTAAGGACACTTAAACCTTTCCGTGGGACTTCTCCCTGTCTCAGTTCCTCGGTGTAGTAGCTCACAGATCTTGGCACAGGGCTGGAAGCCTCAGCCCTCGAGCACCTAACGCTGGAGTTAGAAGGCTGTGGGGAGTCCTGCCCTGGGTGATTTCCTTGGCCTTTTTGCTCTGCTGTGTCCCCAGGACAAGCTCGCAGAGCTGATGGGCGATGTGCTTACGGCTTTCCCAGGGTGCTGGAAGATTTCTGGAGCATCAGGTTTTAGTCTGTAAGTTCTGGTTGCCCCAGAAGCGTAGTGTTGCTAGGAGAGCTCAGCTGCCCGTACGGCCCGAGGCTGTTTCTGGCTCGTCGGAGGCAGCGTGTGGTGCTGGGCAGCTGGTGGGGGAACCTTCTGCTTCCCTCGAGGTGCGGCTGCCCAGTCTGCGTGGGGCGTGTTGTGCTTCTTGGGCACCCGACGCTGTCTAGGCAGCGATCAGAAACAGTTGGATTTGCATTCAGCCCACAGTGTGGTCACGCTGCCAAAGGAACTGTGGCTGCCACGCAGGTGGGAGAAGTGATCTTTCAAAGAGAGCAGAGGGAAGTTCACGATCACCTACAGCCGGTATTTACATCCCACTTAGTCCTTACTCCGTGTGTACGTGCAAGGCCAGTTGGGGAGGATTTTGCTTGCGTGGGGGTGATCTCTGCCCAGCCAGCTTGTGAGATTTTGAGGTTCCTCTGCAGAGGGTTGGTCACCTGGAGCTGCCCAGACCGGGGCTGAGGTGGGCAGGAGCTGTCCCAGAACGCGAGGCAGAGCCTTCGCGCCGAGCAGCACGATGCCAGCCCCTCCCGAGAGCAGCTGCCCTTGCCCGCTTCTGGCGGGGTCAGAGCCTCTCTCAGCCGTGCCCACGCCCCGAGCCTGGCCCCAGCGCTGAGACAGGAGCTTTTGACGCCCTCCGGCTGCCGAGGGTCACGCTGGCACTGACTCCTGGCTGCCTGCGTGCCCGCCTCCAGCTCAGGCCACGAGCCGCTGGGCTCCAGCTGGCGCCGTGCCCTGCTGCTGCTCGCCCTGTGCCTGGCGGAGCAGCCTGATGTTGCTCCAGCCCACCGAGGGCAGGAGGAGGCCTGCTCAGGGCCTTCGTGTGAGATATTAAACACCTGCCCACAGGAGAGCTGAGGAAGGAGCCATCCCCCCTCTGTGACCAGCTCCTGCTGCCCAGCGGGGAGATCAGTAGCCGATACCCTGGAAGTCAGCTCCCCTCAGAGGTGCGCCCCGCTGCAAGCCTGCTGTGTACCCAGGGATCAGCACTGCCCCTCGCAGAACAGGCGAAGCCACAATTCCTAATGCCAGCACTAGTCCCCTCTGAAAATAGAAACAACCTGTGAGGATTATTGCGGGACAGTTATCCATCTTATTGATTAGCCTCTTGGGTAATACGGCGGGTTAAGCTGTCTCACAGCACTGCGTTAGGAGTGAGGACTGGCCAGTAACTTGCCACCTAATCAAGCATTAGCTTATGTTACCAGCAGAACCTGGTTGGAGTTTTTCTTCCCTAGAAAAATAGTTTGTAGATGTGACTCTTGGTACCTTGGTCTCCCCGTAGGGACTCTATTGAACCACCTCCTTCCCTTGTTATAAAATGCATCACGTAATCTCTTATCCTGAAGAGTGATCAAAGTTATTTGTCAGTTCAGTTATGAAACTGTCCAATTATAGAGAGAAGGGGAAAAAACCTCACAAACAAACCACCCTTATGTAACTATTTTTCATTCCTGAGCTTGCAGGATTGTTAAGCAGTTGTGGAGCTGCGTTTCCAGCGGTGAGGCAGAGCCTCTGCCCGAGCGGCCTGACTGGGAGTGCCAGGGGTGGAGGGTGGTGGGGAGCTTCTGGGGGTGCAGGAGAGGCTCTTCAGAAGTAGGACAGCGATGAAAGTAGCAAATGTTTCAAGGACAGCCACTGGGGATGCGTTAACCCACTTTATTAGCGTGATCATCATATGCTGTGAAGCTTCTCCAGCTGGGAAGGTCACATACTGCTCTTGGAGAGAGACACTCAGCCTTTGAGATGGGGCGCAGCAGCTGCTCTAAAATGTCACGGCATAGCAGTGGTTTTGAGAAAGGAAGTTTCTAAAAAAGAAAAAAAAAAACTTTGAGGGAATGTAAAAATCAACTGCCCATTCTCAAAGTTGTCCAAGAGCCCAGGACCTGTGTGGCTGTGATAGCATCTGAGAGTCTTCTGCTAGTACGGTGCAGCGCTGGAAGGCTGGACAGTAACGCTTCTGGGGGACGAGAACATCCAGTCGTTGTCCAGCAACACTTTCTTGCAGCTCTTGGGATTTCCATGGGTGTTCTTGCCCCGCTCTGGCCACGGCCTGTCCTGCACTGCGGATACGGCACGGCAGGAGTCACATCCCAGGAGAGTATCAGAAGAGGAAGGGAGGAACCAGACACTTGCATGAGGACGGGTTTGATGAGGTTTGGTGATGGCTCCAAGCTCGGTTTCAAACGAGGAGGGCAGTAAACCAGGAATTTGGTGGAGTGTCAACTTCCCTCCTTTTGGTTTTGGCACTGGAAAGCAGAGCCCAGGTACGGGCTGGCGTGTGACCTGCTCCCCTCGGCCCCCCTGGCAGCTTTGCCTTTGGGCTCCCTGGTGGGACAGCACGGAAGGGGTGTCAGTCACTTGCCTCGCCACTGCTGCCAGGACGTGCCAGAGCCAAGGCTGGGCTTGTGTCTTGTCTCTGTTTGCTTTTAGTGGATGTTTTTACCTGCTTTAGCTGCATAATTACCATCGCACAGCCAGCCCATCCGGCGCGTAGGCAGGACGAGCCAAGCTCTTGCCTAGGGAAAAGGATATGCAGCAGACGAGTGGTGTGCTGCTCCATCTGTTGCTGCAGCGCACAGCTGCTGGAACGGAGGAAGGAGAGCGATGGGTACAAGAACGGGCGATGCCAGCTTCTCTCTTTTCATCCCGTGTCCTGCTGAGAACTCGCCTGCTGGGTTGCCACGTTCCCAGACTCTTCACAGCCCTCTCCATAGCTTTGTTCCCCCTCTCAATTCACAGTTTCCTGTGGAGGGCAGAGGAATTTCTCAGCTGATGAGTGCCCAGACAGGCTGATCCGGTGGGAACATCCCCGTGTCACAGCTGTGGAGGGTCGCAGGGTGCTGTGAGCCTGGAGGCTGCAGCCTGCGCCTGCCTGGGACGCAGAGTCCTGGGACACGGCTCCTGCTTCACTGGGCGCACGGCAAAGGTTAGCGCAGCAGAGTCCTGGGGGCATTCTGCTGCTCTGGGCCAAGTCAATAAAATGCCCCAGGAGTTCTCCACCTTGTGAGGAGGGATCTGTGAGCCGCTGTCTTGTGCTAAGTTGCCTTGCAGTGCTGCAGAGATCTGCCTCTGCATCCATAAGGTTCTGGCACTCCCAACAACTTCCCAGGGCCCAGGGGCATCCTGCTTTTGTACCTCAGTGTAGGCTGGAGGATTCTGATAGCTTCGAGCAGAGGGGGTGAAGATCCCAACAAATAGAAGAGCGGGCAGAGTCCCGGGCTGAAGGGGGAGTCGCTTGTTCTGGGCATCTTTATCTGTGAGCGTTCTGCTGATGCACGGGAGCTGCTCAGCACCACGGAGATCTGCGTGTGACCGTGGCACGGGGTCCCTTTGGGAGTGGGGGTGGCGCAGCAGCTGGTTTGCTTTCTGGAGTCTCTCCTCAAAGGAAGGAAGATTTACCCCTGCCCTCCCTTTTCTTTCAAGTCTGTCCCGTCTCTCATCAGATAGTGACGAGCTGTTGCTGGGGGGGGCTGTGGAGGGGCCTAGCTGCCCCCTGCCCGTTCCTGCATTGCACTGGGGGGTGCCCACGTGTGGAAGAACTCATCTGGGTCTGTTCGAAGGACGAGAGCACCAGACGGCTCTCAGCCTCGCAGGCCTCCTCCAGCCTGGCTCTGCTGTCAGGGCTCAGAGAGAGGTGGTGGTTCTGCGGAAAGGCACGATGGCAGAGCAGCCCGTCACCTCAGCAACTCCCTCTGCCAGTCAGCAGCTCTCCTTACTAAGCCTCTGGAAATCCTTGCTGGCCCCTCACGTCCCTGGCCGATGAGCAGCCACCGCTCAGTGTCAGCGGGGCTGCGGCTGGGTCAGCGCCTGCTGCTGCGCTGGTGGGCCCCGTGGTGAAGGCGGGTGGCACTCGGCCCGGCCTGGCTCCCCCCTTGGCTCTTGGCTGAGCAGACCTTGGGCAGGAGCTGCCTGTGCCCGGTGTCTCACCTCCTTACTCCTATGAGAAATAAAGGGGCAAACAGGAAGGGTTCAGAAAATGTCATTTCTGCTCCTGAAATGGACTGTACTCCAGTAAGGCTGTTTGCTCCAGGAGCCTCTATTTCTTCATTTTAAGTCTCCATCCTCCCAGGCAGCTTGCAGCACGATGCAGAAACCACACAGGGAAAGAAACGTGCGGGTTCATCTTTGCAACACAGTTGTACCAGAGCTGTTTGTGATGTGCTGACCTCAGGGACATACCGAGATACAACAAAGGGGAGGCACCGGGCAGGCCGATCAATCCATTTTCACTCATTTTCCTCCTTAATTGCAGGCCGATATCAGATCGAGGGAGTACATTCGGAAGCAGCTGTGTTCACCACCCGAGGCTGTATCTTCTGGGCCAGAGAGGTAGGTGTGTGGGCAGCCCAGGCAGCTGCCTCTCCAGAGGGGATCTGCTCATGTAACGAGGCAGTAATGGCATTACAGGGGCAGGCGGGGTTCCCAGGTGAGCTCAGGTGACAGCAGGACACACGCTGCTGCCACCGAGGGTGATTTCTGGTGACCGTGGCCATGCTGCTCCCCACGATTCTCCTGCAGAGCACCATGTCCTGGCCTGACGGTGGGGATTTGGTCTGATTCTGGTGCCTGCGATAAGCGAAGACACAGGTGTGACATGAGGGGGAACAGAAACACCCTGTGGGGAGCTGGGTTCTGCCCCCAGAAAGTGAGGGGAGGGCCACACTCCCCCTCTCTTACATAACATCGACCAGCAGCTGCTGTGTCCACGGGTGTAAATCCATCACGAGGCTGCCGGCACGTTGGAGTTCCTTGTGTTGTGGCTCCCAAGAGTCTGTGCCTGGGACCCCTGGGACCCACACCAGTACCGGGCTGGGCAGGTGCTGTGGGTGGCCCCGAAGAGCAGCTCGGGGGTGAGCCAAGGGTGTTGGCACCCGAAGCCTGCTCTGCTCTGGGCGTCCTGGGGGGCCAGCGTGAAGGAGCCCGCTGGCAGCAGTCAGGGGTTCCCTTCGCTGGCTGAGGCAGCTCTTTGGGATTCCTTCGGGCACCTGGGTGGTGCAACTCCTCGTGCTCTCACAGCTCCTCGCTTCTCGGAGTCCTGTGGCCAGAAGTGAAGGAAGGAGCTTTCTCTGCTTTTGTAGCGGCAGCTACAGAGCAGTGGGGGTGGCCCTGCGCAGTGCCAGGCTGGGTGTTCCCCGTTTGTGCTGGAGCTTCTTCTCTAATGCCCTCCTGCCACAGCTCGAGCCCTCACAAAGTCTGGCTGGTTTGGAGGTCTGTGCCACAGAACAAACCAACTCGTTCCATTTATGACTGTGTATCTCACAACCTGTGTATCTGAGCCCCTTACTCACATCGATACTTGGTCATCTTGGTTTCCACTTTTTTTAAGTCTGTGACCCTTCCTTGGTTTTGATTCTCACAGAAAAAATGAGGCCGGACTGGATGATTAGTCTGATGGCAGAAGAAGCTGTGGGGCTCCTCTGTGCTGGATCCTCCTCTGCACCACGACTGTGGCTCTGCCCGGTGCCACCCCGGGGGAGTGCGGCGAGGCCGGGGCAGGACGAGGCCAGAGGCCGTGCCTGGGTCTGGTGGGCAGGCAGAGCTGCTCTGCTCCAGGCTAATGTTGCGAGCATATTTCTCAGGGTTGATTTTTAAGCATTGTAAAAATATTTGTGTAAGCAAATGTACACTTGTAAATTTGCAACAGCTTTCTCAAGTACTTGGGGAATTGCAGGTGATTTACAGAGAGATGCTGGGGCATTTAACTCGGTTATAAACAAACTCCAGAGCTGGCCTTTGGCTCCTGCCACACCCTGTAGCACAGAGACTTCCCTTCTCATCTTTTTTTGGAACAGCTTCCCCCCCTCTCTGCGGTCTGCACTCTCACCCTGCTCTGTGCGCCCCCGCGGAGCAGGAGCCCCGCGCCCAGCTCCCCCCGACCCCGCCAGCTGGGCAGGTGGGCGTCTGGCTCACGAGGGAGGGGATGGAGCCAACTCTCTGCTGCGGGTTTTGGAAGAGGCTCAGACATCAGCGCTCTGCTACCGGAGAAGTTTTGTGTCTGCCCGGTGTCGGTGGCTGCTGCGTGCCTGCTGCCTCGGTGGCTGCGGGCAGGTCGTGGCCCGCGCCGGGCACGTGGTGCTGGAGGGAACTTGTGCTGCTGGTGTGACAGTGCCCACGCGGGCCCGGCGTTACGGTCACCCGCTGCGGGGACAGAGGGGCTGGCGGTGCAGCCCTGCGCCTCCTGAAGGAGAGGTCATTGTGGGGGGGAAGGAGAATCTCCCGTCAGGGAGAACGGGGAGGGGGGGTCCCTCCTGCTACACAAATCCGTCCCTGTGGCCAGATCCCAGGGCTGAGTTTTGCAGGCTGGGCTGGGAGCGCTCGGAGGAGGCAGCTCTCAGTGCCCAGCACCCTTGGACCAACCCCGGGTTAAACCGTCAGCCAAGCTTCGCTTTAGCAGCAGAGCCCAAAACAAACAGTTTTATCCCTGAATCGATGCAGCAAGTCTCAGCCAGTTTGCAGGGCTAAAGCTTTTCCTCCAAAGGTGGGGGCTCCTGGCTGGACACACAGGTTATTCCTCACTGTTTCCAAAGAAAATTGGAGCAGATGCACGAGTTCTTGAGCACAGCCAAACCTCCGGCACGATGGTTTTAAAAAAGCCATGGCTGTGTGAGCTTCCAGCCTGAAGAGCAGAAAGGCTCTTTTCCTGGGATTGGAGAGGGGGGCTCAGGGCCGGGACTCCTGGGGGCTGTTTTAAATGCTGCCAAGCACTTCGCTTGTGCATGAATTTTTATCTTACAGCTTTTGTTGCTCTTTTCTCGCCGCCACCTCAGTCTCGGTGCTGTGTAGAGGACGTTCAGCCCCCGTCGCGTGTCTGTGCAGCATCTGCTAGAGCCGAGCCTGGGCTGCTTCCTCCTCCAGCACAACGCCCTGAACCTGGAGGGGGAACGGGAGGAAGCCACAAACTTGGCTCCCTCGGTTCGGGGAGCTCTGTGGGGCCGAGCCGTGGGGGCCCTGAAGAGGGGGGCAGGGGCTGAGAGGGTGATTCCCAAAAAAGCTGTGCTGGTGGAGCTGCTTGAAAGACAAAGCCTGAAGCAGCTGCAGTTTTCCAGCCCGGGGAAGGAGCTGGTTGTCTCCTGGGAAGCACAAAGCCCTTTTCACGCGGGAGTTTGTTATGTGGGTGGACAGAGACTGGGGAGGGAAAAACGTTGCAGTGGAAGCGTGTTCCTTTGATCTGGGGGGGGGGGGG